TATGTTCTAAGGGGTTATTCCCATTGTATTATTAAAAACTAGTGATGTTTGATTTTTGGCAGGGACTGTCTTCCTTGTATGATCTACAGATTTTGCCAATTAAATGAAGGAAAAATAGATTTCCAAGACTTCAGAACAAGACTGGACTTGTACTCAGGGCGCTGTTGCGGCGTGGTATTGAGCTACTTTGTTTTGTTGAATAGGATGAAGGCAGCATCAGCCATCTTACTCTCCCGGTTGCAGCGACTCCCTGCAGAGCAGGGGACAGGCATGGGTTTCGTAGCCAGCCTTCAAAGTCATCCCAAGCACTGCCAGAAGGTACCGTAGGGGGTTACCACCACAGTAGCTTTCCCAGCTCGGTTCATCAGGAATAGTTTTTTGGGGATGTAGTGTGCAAGAGTGGGAGGCAGGGCTCCTGGGCAAAAGGCTCCAGGCTCGACAGCTCCTTAACGGCAAAACCAAAAGCGATCCCAGATATCGTTGCCTTGGATCTGGAGTTCTCAAAATGGCGACGGAAAGCGGCAGGGGAAAGCTGGAGGGAGGAGAAAACCGAAGTGAAGCAAAAAAGGCAAAAAGGTGACCAAGGACTTTGAGAGCGCCGGGCTGCGCCGTGCCCAGCAGGGTCGAGCCCTCAGAGTGCACGTCGTGCTCGGTCCCGCGCAGCTCTGGCAGCCTTGCGGAGCCGTCGGCTTTACGCTTCGAGCGTACGCCAGCGCTGCAGAGGAGTGAGGTGCTCACCAGCAGTCTGGAAGCTGAGCTTTTACGTGTCAGTGTTTTACTTTTGTGATCTGCTTTTGATAGTCATGAAAAGCGACTTCTTTTCTGGAAAGCTGCACGTGCTGCCTCGCGCGCCGCAGGGTTTGACGTGGCCCTGTGCAGGCCGTTTCGGGGGCCAAAGGCAGACGAGGTGCTAACCAGGCGGTTTGGCTTGTGCTGTAAATAAAATATTATCTACCTGGTTGCCTCTTTTTTTTTTTTGTCTGCTGAGATCCTGCTGCTCTTCAAAAACCGTGGAGATTCTGGCAAGCAGCTCCATCTGAGCTACGGTTTGGCATTCAGTTGCGTAGAATATATTATCATGTATATAAATGCCATCGGCATGATTTATTTGTGGTGACCGGTTAAATACAGCTGGTATTTCTGTAATTTTAATAAAGGGTTTTTTTGAAGGTAATGCCTAACATCTCTCTGTGAAGACTATTGACTGAATAAAATCCATAAGTGTATATAAGATACCCCCTGTAATGTTCTCCGACAATGTAATCCAAATCATAGTATTGGGGATAACCTGTTCCACTGTCCTACCCTGCTTCCTTTAATCAGAGCTAAGATTTCGTCTTTATAAACATGAACCACGGGGTATGTACACTGCCTGCCTCGCCACGGGGGTAGAGGGCCGGTAAGTTACTGTCTGCGGGCCGCGTGCGCGCGCATTTAACTTGTCTGTAGCTGCTGAAAAGCACGGATTTATGTTACACAGGAGGGTAAGAGCGTCATGCGCCCAGCCTGTGTTTGGTGGGATTTGTCTGCTTTACCTCCTACATCTCGGCAAATGAGATGGAAGCGGACCAGTCCCAAGCCCCCGACTGTAAGCTGTGAATGTAGAATTCCTGGCCCTTTGTGCCCTGTTACCTGGGGTGCGTTACCCGAAAGCGAGCGAGCCGCCGAGGACCTGGGGATTTTGAGCAGAAGGCCATCCAGTGAACAAAGCCCAGCGTGCCTGACAGTGGAAGCGAAGACGTTTTCTGTGCGAAGGCGTTTCTGCCGAGGGATCTGTCGGTACATCCAGCAGCTTCCCCAGCCACAGGACGTGAGCACACGCAGCAGCCGGAGCAGCGATGTTCCCATGCCATGATCCGCACGGCTGTGCTCGGCTTCTGGATAGGAGCTGGTCGCAGAAGTCACCTGGGAGGGGCTCTCTCTTTCCAGACATTTCTGGTCATTTGGTTGGGATTTGACTCCAGTTTTGGCGAATAAAGCAAACAAAGCTTGTTCAGCAAACCCATTTATTTATTTATTTAAGAAGCATATTTTACAGTGATGCCATGGCGAGACCACCACAACAGCTTTCATCGGGGGGCTGGAAGAGAGCCCTCGTGTGCGTGTGAGTTGAGATGCCGTTAACCTGTCCCAGGAGATCTCCGGCTCGGACTGTGGAGCTCAGCGTGCAAACCACGTTGGTCAAAGGCAAAATGTTTCTGAATTCATAAATGAGCCAGCTCTCCGGGAGGGAGAATAAGCACAATTCTCGAGCTGGTTAAAAGGAGAAATTTCATCTGTTTTTTTTTATATTTTCCTCCTAATTTTTCTAAAACAATTTCATTTTAAAATCACCCATACCGAAAAATCTTGGATTTCCTTAATATGCATTTTAAACTTTCCTGTGCCTTTCTCCCCTTTTCCTCCCATCTTGCTGTGAAAAAGGACAAAAGAAGGGAAAAGGCTCCAACAGAAAGAACTCTGTCCGTTTTTCTAAAAAAACCCTAGGAAGTTCTATAAAGCCGGTTGTGTCGGTTTGCTATATGCAGTTCAGTTCTGGAATAGTTGCGCTACTATTGCCGTGAGTTCCTGGCGGGAACGCAGTCCGTGACCAGAGCCGCCGTGTGTGAAACCTTACTGACGCGCTCTCGCGTCTCTCTCATCCTCCTTGAGAACTGGACTGAGCTACTGCAGCAGGCGGGAGGAGGGGTCCTGTGTGCAAGGCAAGCTGGGGCTCCTCAAGGGGTTACTGCTTCTGGCTGCTAAAAAGCGGAAGGGAAACACGGTTCTGCTTACATGCAACGCCCCAGCACAAACAAAATACTTCTCTCACAGGCCAGCTGAGGCTAGGAAATAAAGTGAGATCTGATCTTTCAGCTGGGAGGCTTTCAGGAATCATCTGAACATGATCCATAAACAACCCAAGGGATGACTTTTAAGAACCTTTTTCTCTCTCTGCTTGGTATGCTGGTCGTTTATCATTGTGCTGAAATGGAATCCCCTTTAAAAGATATAACGGCTTCTTGTTTACTTAAACGCAAAGTGGATGATGGGCTGAAAGGTCTTGCTGCCAGCAGAGCAGCCACGGAGAGCTTGGTGCAGCTCTGGAGCTGAAACAACCGTGCAGCTCCCACGTCCTGCGCTGAGCCAAACCAG